TTGCCTTTATCAGCAAACCTCATGTCCTTCCAAAAAGTAAGAGCAGGAGTGGAACCACCTGTTCCCTTGCTCTCTTCAACCTTGGCCCTCTTGGCCTTGCTTGCCACGCAAACATCCTCGATGTCCTTACACTGCTGAACCAGTGTACCAAAGTCCCTCGAAGCAGCACCAGCAAGATGCTCAGCAATCACCTCACTAAGTCCCTTGCGAAACTTAGCTGCCAGAAACAATGGAGTAGGAGGAACCATCCGGAAGTGTGCAAACTTCACTAGCTTATTAAACTTAGTCAAGTACTCATCAACAGACATCGAGCCCGGTACCAAACGATCAAACTCTCCCTGCTTCCTCTCCTGCGCATCATAGGGAAAGTATCGGCCCAGAAAGCACTCCTCAAAGAATGGCCGCGTCATGACACGACCCTGCCTCTCAAAAGCACGAGAGGTGTGCGTCCACCACTCATGGGCATCGCCCTCCAGCATGTAGGTCGAGAACATCAGCTTCTGTGGGTCTGTACACTGCATGACCCGAAAAATCTTGTCCAACGACTCTAGCCATCTCGCAGCAGCAATAGGATCCAAAGACCCCTCAAACACAGGTGGCTTATGCTTCCTGAAAGCATTCAGCCGGCGATCGATCACATCACGATCCTCAGCAATCCCCACAAGGGGCTCCCCCGTCTCAGCGGCATGAGTAGCACTGCCGATGTGACTATGACTCTCCTCCTGAACACTAGGTGGCGGCGGTGGTGGTGGTGGAGCCTGGCCAACAACAGGACCAGCTCTCATCTCCTCCAACATGACTCTCATGATCGTCATGTTCGCCATCCTGTTCGCCTCGAGGACTTCCTCAGTGGTCCTCCGGTTCGCTTCACGAACCTCAGCTGCGGCTATCCGGTTCGCCTCGCGAACAACATCCATCATTGCCGCGTTGGCCAATCTAGTGGCCTCCTGATCGGCTCACCTAGCTGCATGCATCTCAGCCAATGCAGTCAGGATAGGATCGGGTTGATCCTCAGAAGTCTCTCGTGTTCTCCCAGACCTTACCATGACTCTGCACAAGTTACACAAATTATGAGTTGATCAGGCCCACGCAATGTGATCACATATACAGCATCATAATAAGATTCGACGGACTAAACACAAAGACAGAAACAACCAAACAACCTACCAATTGCAATACATACAGGCTTTTCCCTCGAACCATTGCTTTGATACCATAAATGTAACACCCCGTATATATCCGGCAATGTTATCATAATATCGTATTAAGTTGCGCTTAATTAAAAATGCGGAATTACTTTTTCTTTTCAATTATGATGCCATTAACATTACCAACTTGCTTAATAATCAATTAATAAAACATCGCCTGTATGTAATTGCAATAAAACAGCTAACTGAAATACCTCATAACATAGATAATATAAGCGTGGCTCTAGTCACGGAACTACAACAACGTAGACCGGACCATCTGACAGTTTATACAACTCCAATCTAAAAAGTACTAACATAAAGTGTCATGGACAATCCTCATGCTCACTCAAATAAGGCAAAAGCCCAACATCAGTCTCAACAACAACATATCATAAATAGCGGAAAACATAAACAGCATCCAAATCCAGTCATGCTAACATAAAGCAGTAAAACATAATCAGCTAAGCTTCGGCCTCCTGCCGCCTGAGGCATCAGTACCCATACTACCTGATCCTGAAATAAGCATTCCCCAAACGTGGGGTAAGATCTCTAAACTAGAAATCTCAGTAAGACAGTGCGTCCTCAAGGATCTTCCACCCCAAGCTCACTTACATGTGCAATATAAGTTCAAAAGCAGTTTATCATTTATCATTTCTAAAACAATGCAATGCAGCAGATAATCATGTCATGTGTGTCAATACTAATCTACTGGCCAGAGACAGTGCAGGTATACGTTTATCACCTACACACCATGCAAGTACCACTTGCATTCACCCCGGTACACCGTCTTGTATAGCGCTACATACTCAGGCTTCCCGTCAAGATGAAACAACACATGCATATTAAAAGCCATTACATGTAAAGTTCAATCAACATATCAAATATCCAAAAGCATGTACACAGCATGCATAAACCATACCCCCATGGGACATGGTGGAACCACAACATGGCTAAACCGAGGACACGAAAGCTTACCTCTAAGCTAGCTATCCAATGCCACAAGCTCAAAGTCCAATCACAGCAGATCACAATCTGATATGGACCAAATATAAATCAATAACATGTACCATATGTATACAAATTAAAGACAACGTCTTTTCATTACGCTTTATGTCTTAAGGCTTCTCACCAAGCTATAAGCCCTTAATCACTTGATTCTGACTTAGTTTAATTAAAACAAAAGTTCAACTTCATCAATCTAGGGTCCACAAACCCCCAATAGCCTACTGTCCTCACAACACAGCTACTGTTCTTCGAAATCCCAGAATATCCGGATATTTCTCGGGACCATATCCGGATATTCAATATCCGGATATCCAGAATCCCATATCCGGATACCAAATATCCGGATATCCAAAACCCCATATCCGGATATCACATATCCGGATATTCATCGGGCAGATATCCGGATATTTCACGACAGAATGCAGTTCTGCATTTTCGTGAAGATATCCATCCAAGGTTGGGTTTTTAACGATTTAAAGCACCTAAACATGCATTTCTATGTGTGTTCAACATTATCCAACAACAAGTTATCATCTTTAAGCCTTAACATGCATCAAGCTTTCATTTTTAAGCATTAAACTCATGATCAAAGGTTGGTATACATACCAAAGGCCAAAACAGAGGGTCAACTGCTCATGAAGCTCCCAAAACAGCTTCATCAGCTACTGGGAATATTGTGTACGAAAATGCTACACCAAGACTTGACCTTTCTACCCAAAGGTTGCTTCTTTAAGCAACAAAATGCCCAACTCAAGCTTCCACAACCAAGCCAACCAAGTCAGCCCCAAAACTCTCACCAACAGTGGCTGAGCACTCAGAGAAAAGCACCCTTCTCCCTCACCAAGCTCACTCTCAAGTGTTTACAAAGGAAGAATGAAGGAAAAACCAGAAAGGAAGTGCCTTGGACCCAAAATGGAGAAGAAACCCCACAAGTCAGCCAAGTTGATCAGCCACCCTCAACTCTCACGTTCAAAATCTGTTTTCTAGGGCATTGTGCCCTTAGAAATGGGTATTTATAGCCACAAGTCACTTAAACACATAGTATTAACTTTAATTGCTACGCTTAGCATTTTAATCCCAAACTTTGGATTATGAAACTACATAATTTTCTAAGATTTATCATATTTTTCTTATAATTTTCTGAGCACCTTTCCGGTACGTGCTTTTCCAAGCCAGTACCGGTTTCTAGCACTAGTTCTCATTATCTGGACTTGAAACTCGTTTTTACAAGTCCTACATATTATTCTAGTAATTAACATGCACTTTAATTTTCCGGGATACTTTTTCGGTACTCATTTATACCGACTAGCAGAACCAGTATCTGCACTTTTCTTCCGAAAAGCGACTTTCAGCAATATTACCCACTTACTATAATTCTTAAAGCCTCATAATAATTATTAGGGTCAATTATGGAATCATTTCCTATTTTCTCATAATTTATTAATTAAATTCATTAATTAATGATGCAGGTTCTTACAGTATGCATTGTTTTTAAGTCCAAGTTCCTTTGCATGAACTTCGTATCCTTAATCGAATCAATTAACTTTTATAATTGCTAATCAAAATTATATATTTGAATGGTTAAAATAGAGAGAACACATCTTAATCACAAAATTAATTTCCTTAGATTTTGCTAATGAGAATTTGACCAAAATTAAACAAATAAAAATAAAAATGTATAATTGGCCTAAATAATTCTTGCAAAGAATTGGAGTATTTTTTATTTTTACTTTTTTGTGGGGGGGGGGGGGACTTAAATGAATGCTTTGAAAAATTGTGTATCATTTTAAAGAATATAAAATTGTGTCATTTTTTAAGTGAGAGGAAGAGATAAATAAAAAGGAAAAGAGAGTGAACCAAAAAAAATAAATAAAGGTGTGGGTCCCACCTCTTTGTGAGAGTGAAATGACACAAGTTGTTTCATTCAAAATGACAAACACTTTTATATATATATATATATATATATATATATATATATATATATATATATATATATATATATATATATAAGTCGTTGTTTAGATGATTACTTTCAACTTGCGAGTCAACACTGTCTCAATTGATTAACTTCTACGTTTCCAGCAACCAAGGGAACGATGGCACACATCCACTTCAATTTCTAAAATTAATAAAGACCCGTGTGTTATAAAGTAAAGAATTAAAGGGAATGACATATTACAAGAGTAAGTTAGAGAGAAAATAGAAGAGCCAGGTAGATATTGATTCTCGTTCCATTCAAAATTCATGAGGGAGTAATGCTTAATTACTGTGTTGGTTACGAAATGATAACGAGAGATAATTGCATCATTATTGTCAACTGTAAGGTCATATATAATTATATTGTTATTGTCAACTGTAACGTGATTCATAATTATACCGTTACTGCCAACGGTAACGTCATTCATATTTTATAATATCGTGATAATTAATCCAATGGTTTATTATTTTTTATGTTATAACAGATATAATTATCTTTTACGTCTATAAAAGTATATAAGATTTATATTTTCTCTTTCTCTTTCTTATCCTCGTATGGGTCCACATAAATTCTAGGTACTTTTAAAATGTTAAACATACCCGTTTCAAATTTATAAAGTTACATGCTTTACAAACATAACCCCCGAGAATAATTTCAATACTATGTAGCATGTCCCCCCTCCATTCACAATTAAACACATGTGTTGAAACAGCGTTTTTATCTCTGAAATATCACCGCAGCAGCATTGATTCTTAATTTTTTTAATTTTGATTGAAAGAATGTATTGAAAACTCGGTGAGACGGTAGTCTTGAAAATATTTCCCCTACTTAACACACTTTTGTTACAATGACTGCTAAACATACATTTAAAACAAAGGAAATACTATTCTTCAGCCGCAGAATGATGAATAGTTTCTATACAGAGTGATCGAAATTTTAGCTTTCTTTCTTTCCTATTTTTTTTTATAAAAAAAAGTGGTGAGAGCCAAACCATCAACCACACACGTACATACATAACCTTTTGTATACTTCCCAAACCTTCAACCAGACACATACAATTCAACATCATATCAATGATCATTGATTAAGATAATCCCAAGTTAACGGCCTAAAGACATGAGCAGCCTCAGATTCAATGATCTCCAATTGTCCCTTCTCAAGGTGCATGTACACAACCCAATCACCATTCCCCAAAGGGCTTGGCATTGGCATCACATAACCAGCTTCACCGCCCCAAGGAAAATGGTATGATGCAAACACAACCTTCCCCCACCCAAAGTTCACCTTCTCCTCCGGGAACCTTTGCCCGGAAGACACCACAAAAGCTGGTCCCTCGTCGGCGCCACCGCAATAAATCCTTGCCAACCCGGGGACCGGCCGGTGCGTTTCCACCCAATCAATGAGCCCCAAGAAGTGCTCCTCCGTGGCCGCCACCGCTAAGAACTCGTGAACCTCATCCGCCACCCACCCCAACGGCTTCTCCACCAGCTCCTCCACCGGTTTCCCACCAAAGGGTATGGAAAGAACATTCCCAAAATAACAATCCATCATTGCTTCTCTCCCTGTATCGCCACCACCACTATTACCAAGCCTCTTCCTTCCATCAACCACGATGCCCATTTTAGCAATGACCCTTTTGCCATTGATGTCTCTTGAAGCTGCACGAGCAACCATCTTCCACAAGAACGCGGAGAAAGACTCGAGCTTTGTGTATTTAGCGCTATCGTTGCTGGTTTCATCGGCTAGTGACTGCATGCGACGAAGTTGCTCCGCAGTGACGTAGTAAATGCGGCTGATGAGAGGGGTGGCGGTGGTGGTGGCCGGAGGAGGAGTGAGCTTGGAGATGGGTACATACATGTGGTGGAGGGAAGGGTGGATGGAAGCTGGGCGGCGAGGGCTGAGGAGGGAGCGACGGAAACATGGGTGGTGGAAGGTGGTCGTGGCCGTGGTGGAGATGGTTATGGGCTTGGTGGGCTGGGCCATATGGGCCCATGATACGAGGAACATGTTTGCTGAATAGGCATCTGCTATACGATGATCAAATGTGCATGCCACTACTATCCCTCCACACTTGAGTGAAGTTGCCTGCATAAGGGTAGATTCTAATTCAATCACACTAATTTCAACTAGTAGTTCATGTAATGTTGTCGCCTTAATTAAATTTTCATTAGTATATACTCTTTTATTAAAACTGGAAAGAAGTAGATTCATTTGACATTAAAAAAAATAAAAGAAGTGAATAATGTAAATTTAATTAAGTAAATATTTTTTTTAAAAATTATTGAGTGTAGCACTGGGTGCTGAGTCCTATATAAATATTGAAAATTTATGGCCCATGTCATATGTAATAAATTGAAAGAGAGAGTACTATCCTTTTCAAATTATAAATTGAATTAAAAAAATTGCAGGCACAATAATAATACTTTATAATTTTTTGAAATTATTATTTCTTATATGGTAGGAAATAATTTTAATCTTATACTTTATAGTTGTGGATGGATCATGGATATGACTATGTATGCTGTTACACAAATATTTAATGCACATAGTTTTGTTTCTGTTGTCTGCTGGGATCGATGGGACAACCGCCATCAACTACTTTCTTTAAATAGTATGCATGCGGAGTTTACAAAGGGATCTTGCATCATCAAGCACTAGTTACGTTCTACTACCTATTTACTCAATTCTAAATTAGAATAAATATCACTTTAAATTCCTAACAAAAAATATGTTCTCTATTTTAGTCTCTTATAAAAAAATTAATTTTGAGATTCTTATAAAATTCAAAATGAATTAATTTAGTTGAAATCGTGATCTTTTATAAATTCAAAAAAGACTCATATTAGCCCCTCAAAAGAACTACAATAGATTTATTTTAAATTTTTTAAGAATCATGCGACTATTTTTTTTAAGAGATTAAAATGAGGATCGTATTTTTTCTTAAGAATCAAGAAGAGCATTTACTCTCTAAATTAAGTATTTCTCGAAGCATTTTTATTTTTTTATTTTTTTATTTTTTCCTTTTGATAATTTTTTGAAGTGGTTTTTATGTTACTTCATTTTATAATTCTGCTTTGATAACATTAATTGTTCATCTTAGGAAACCATAATATGTCACTTCTTGCCGTTAATAAAGATTTTTTGTTTTCCATATTATTGCCGCTTACACAATATTGTTGAACTAGATCTACTAAAAAAAACATTATTAAAATAAAGGGATTGATGTATCTGAAAGTGACTCCTAGCCTGTTTGGATCCTCTTATTTTTAATCTAGAAGCTACTTATAAGCTAAAGCTAAAAAAAAAAACTTAAAAAAAGAAGTTAAAAGTTGTTTGAAAATTACATAAAAAATTTAGCTTAAAAATTAGTTAAAAGCACATATTTCAAGAAAATTATTTCTCTCTCTATCTTTATCACTCTTCATTTTAAAAAAAAGCACACAATTCAAGAAAAACAGATAAGAGCTTAAAAAAAAGCTCCTCCTAGGAACTTTTAATTTTCAGCTTTTTTCTTCATTAAAAAAAAGAGCTTTTCGTTATAAGAGCTTTTTCCAAAACCTATTTGGCCTAACTTATGCTTATAAGTAGCTTCTAGCTTAAAAATAAGAGGATCCAAACAGACACTCCGCCTACTTTGAAAAGTTATCACAGTAAGTCCTGTTTTGTTGCTATAACTGATAAGGATACAAAATTACAAAGAGTGAACTATATGCCAAGTTTTTTTAAAAAAATTGTCAAAATAACATGTAAATATTATTTTTTTACCTGACTATCACATATTTAAGTTCATTATCAGTTATATAATAAATTTGATTAGGCTACGTTTTCATTAACATACTAAATTTGTTATCACTAATAACGAACTTGAACGTGTGACAATATGATAAAAAATAGTATTCACATAATTATTTGGGGATAAAATTGGAACAAAATTAAAACTAAGGTATATATCATACATGACATAAAATATTTCATCATAAAAATTATAGGTTTTATTAGTCTTATATTGCTACAAAAATTTTCCTCTCATGCCAAGAGACAAAACAAATGTGGGGCCAGCATGTGTTAAAAGAAAAAAAAAGGTAGAAATGCGAATCACAATGGGCTAGCGGAAGAAAGTTTTATTTTGCAGCAGCATAAAACTAGTAAAATCCAAAAATTATTTAATAAAAGACTTAACAAAAAAATGAAAATTCTAATGATTTAATGAGAGAAGACTGACCCTTTGCATACCTCAAGCTAAAAATTTCAAACTTCCTAACAATATATGTAATTCAATAGAAAAATTTGTCAATATATAGGGGACAAAACGGATTCAATCCATCGGGTTTGGCATGTTTAAGTCCTGTCACAAAATGATGGGTTGGGTTCGGTTGGGATTTCCAAACCTGTCTAATAAATCAGCATAATTATATATAAATTGAATCAACAACCAAATTTGAGAATGTAACTTACAAAATTTTATATATAGAAAAATATTTTATCACGTTGTATGAGAATTTAATTCTTATGTTGTGAGCTTTTGATTTGTATGCAAAATTTTTTTTTTTTTCATTCTTTAATAAATATGGAGTCCACCACTAGTTGAGTCACAAACATAAGAATTCAATTCTCGTGAGAAAATCAAACCCTTATATATATATATATATAAGAAAACATTTTCTCCTTTTAAAGGAGAAAAATTTTCTCCTACTAATGACTCATAACATAAGTGAGTCAAAATAGTGGAAAGAAAAAAAAATTCAAAGTAAGACCCACTTATGTTATGAGTCATTAATTAATAGGAGAAAAATTTTCTCCTCTAAAAGAGAAAATGTTTTCCATATATATATATATATATGAGATATATTTTTCTTATGTTGTAGAAATAAAAGTATAAGTGGGACCCACATGTAAGAAGAGAGAGGAAAAAAAAGTGGTGGGACCCAACTTTTTTGTGTGTGTAGGAGAGATGTTTATCTCACGTAAAATGAGATAAACATAACCCTATATATATATAACGGCATTATGCATTGATTAACTTATGTGTTTATGTAATCTTTTATTTTTTTGCTGGTACCTGGACAGCAAGCACGCCATGCTTCTTCTTTGGAACAAGCTTATCTTCAAAGGTGTCATCTGGGTTGTAGAAGTTAAGGCACTTTAGCTCAACATCTGCTACAGCTTCAACAAAATCGACCCCACGATTATTACAAAGAAGCTCAGGTTCACCCACAGTGTTGGGTACAACTTCACCTGCAAAGGCATAGTAGGACACCAGAGCCTGAGCTAAGCCCTTCTTCAGAGACCCCACCATGGATCCAAAGCTCATCATGTTGTTGGTGTCAGTACTACCGTTCCCTAAGGTAGTGGACATGAACATTGGGTTCTTGTAGCAGAAGAAGACCCCCACATCCACAGGAGGTAGAAGAAGGTCAAGGTTAGAAAGTGGTAACCAATGTTCTTGGATTGGAAGCACTGCTGCCACCACCTCTTCTTTGGTCACACTCACTGTGAACTCTCCATTTTCAACACCCATTTTAGAACGAGAAGTGAAGGGTTTTTGCTGAAATGAATTCTGAGGCGCCTATTGATTTATAGGTCTAAGCAGAGAGAGAAAGAGCTGCACACGTGTCGTTACAGTCAGCGTTGGTTCATCTAGTTTTATTTTTGGGTTTTTTGAATCGTCATTATTATATAATATAGTACATGTACGAGTGGCAACAAATCCTCTCCCAAATTTCTTTTTTTAATTGCTTTTCATTTTTCTTATAGGGCGGGTATAATTACGGGAGTAACGTTTCTTACAACTTATAGAGATAATTTAATCTCTTATATATACATAAAAATGTATGAGATTTATATTTTTTTTTCTCTTTTCGTAGTCCCATCTTGGTCCAGTGGCGAGGCCACCTAGGGGTATGGTGGGACCTTAGTCCTAGCTAAAATTTAAAAATTACTTGTTTTTTAATGTGATTAAATAATCGTGGCTAAATTTTTGGATAAAATTAATGCTAGTTCCCACCTAAATTTTTGTTGGCCCTAGCTCAATGAATAGGTTGGCTCCACCATCCACACATTTTTATGTATGTGTAGAAGATAAAATTATCTCTTATAATATGAAAAATATTAATCGCTAAATTTTAGGAAAGATTCCTTATTTGTGAGACTTTATACCGAGATCAATTTTTTATATACAAAGTAGTACAAAGAAGGAAAACTAATTTAAAATATATTTTACAATGAATTATATTTAAATATGGGATAAGATATTGTAACAACCAACTAGTGTTACTACCAATCAATTTCATCATTAGATCGATTATATTGATCCAACGATTATATTTATTTTCATCTTTGTATGATTATGATTCTCTATATTTAATGTTTTCGCATTAAATATGGGAAATCATAACCATACAAAAGTAAAAATAAATATAAAGTATTAAATATAGATATTATAACTATACAAAGATGGAAATGAATATAACCATTTGATCAACATAATCGATCTAACGGTGAAATTGATTGGTAGTAACATTAGTAGTAACACTAATTGGTTGTTACAATATCACTTCCCTTTAAATATAATTAAACTAATTAATGCGAGTTTGGCTCAGACATACAAATTCTTAATAAGGTTTTGCATATATTCCAAATAGGTAGTAGCTTAGCGATAATCGCACCAAAAAAATTCCTCTCACATTCAAGGATTAAATGTGAATTGCCTCCATATAATTACTTAGGGATATGTGTACATTCTTCTATTAAAAAAGGGATTTGCATATATAGAAGTGATTTAGGATCATCATAGTTAGAGATCATCGTAGGACATGCGTACAAGTTAAATTTCATTCGGTTATTATATGAAAAGTAGCACGAAGTAAAAAACTAATTTAAAAATCATTTACATTAAGTTATATTTAAATATAATTAATCTAATTAATGCATCTTGGCTAATGCATAAATATCCTTAAATAAGGTTTTGCGTGTGTTCCAAACTCACTTAGTAGTTTAGAGATAATCCAAAAATAAAAAATAAAAAATCCCCTCACATTCAAGGATTGGAGATGAATTACCTCCATTTAAATTACTTTTAAGGACATGCAATCATTGTAGGTCATTTAATTGTCCAGAAGAGGGCATAAAAGCATAACAACTAATTCAAATCAAAAATTTAAGTAATTAAAAATTACTTTAATTGATCATATTAAACTTATCTAACAAATCGAGTATTTATGGGGTTACTATAAAAGTTCTCTTATAATAAATATTTAAATATGAAATTTATTAACACATATCGGTAGTGTTGTTTGGTCTAATGAGCTCGTATGTGATGAAAGATGTAAGCGTAATAGAACTTATGACTAGAGGTGGCAAAGTGGGTGGTCTGCCTTGTCCCGTCCCACTCCGTCATCAACTCGTCAAAAAATGAGCTAGCCCGCCCCGCCTCGCTTTTGAAAGTGGGCTAAAAAACTCAGCCTGCCCCGCCTGCCCGAACCTATTTTACACTGACCTGTCTCGGCTCGCCTATGCCCGCCATCAACCTGCCAAAAAATGAGCCCGCCCCACCCCGCCCCGCCCCGCTTTTGAGATGAGTTGAAAAACTCAGCCCGCCCCGCCCCGTTTGGCGGGTTGGCCTGCCGAGCCGAGCCCGTTTTGCCGATTCTACTTATGACCACTTAGAGGCTCTCATACCATATTAAACAATCATCTCACCTAAAAAATTAAATTGTTAAACAAATACCACATATATTATATTTGTCTTAGAATGTCATATAATTTTCATGAAATAAGAAATTAAATAATTAATGATATTGGCATTAAAATTTTATTTTAATTTATATAAATATTCATGAAGTTTTACTCAAGCTTAAATATAAATTTAATTAATAATATAAATATTTATAATGTTTTTGTGTTATGTTGCTACCATAAATTTAATAGATTTCACTTACTCCAAAAATCACATAACAGTTCCTCTTAATTAAGCAAATGAGAGCATATATGGGAAACTTACTTCACTCCGCGGTAGCCTCTAGACCTAGCTAGTAGGACGTCCTTTATTAGAGTATTTCTTAACAACCTTATCTTCTTAAATAGTTAAAAATGAGGAACAATTAGGTCATTTTCTCACTTTCTATATGGTAAACTAACCAATTGTGGATTCCTCTACTCTGAACCACTTTTATTTTTTGGGGCAAGATACTCTGAACCACTTACTTAACCTTCATCTTCTTGTTTTGATTGACATCATTGGCTTATTCAAACGTCACGATACTTACAGTACATTGATTAATTGAAGTGCGTTCAGTATTTGAAAATATTCCACTATATTAACCGTAGCGTTCTAATTATATTCCATATTTCTAAGTTCACTATCAAATAATTAGCTGATGATTGCTCTTTTAAAATTTAAACGACTCGCTTTGTAGGTTGAAAATATTTAGAGTAACAGGAATATCGAGAATTAGGTACATCATTAATCATATATGATAAAAATAACTTATTTTAATTATTTTCATTTCTATAATTATTTCCATCCATATTTCATTTTCTTTTTCCTGTTTTGTAAAGTTTTAAAGTGCTTTAAACTAAGGATTATGAATGTTTCAAATTTATTACAGAAATATAATATAAAAATCATTGTTATGTCTCCATTTCTCAGTTTAAGCTTTTGCGTTCATTACCAGAGAAACACTAAACATGACACGTTATCCACTAACATGATAGCACGTGTTCTTAATTAAACACAAGAAAAATACCTACGTACCCCACCCTCCTTGATCAACCTCTATCGTCATTTCCATTAAACCTAACAATCTACCAAACCCCTACCACACAAAACACAGCCCTAGCTACCACCAAATCTTTGCATTACGAATGAATTTGCTACACACAACTCAGCCGTACCAAGTTTGGCATTTCGATTGAATTTTCTACACAAAAGGGCTCGATGGAGGAGCCACAAAAAAAAGTGCAAGCATCAATAATGGCGTTATACTGGATGGTTGCTGATAATCCATCAATCAATTCCTCATTATACTGAGCAAAATTACAAACACCGACAAGGACATGGTGAGAAAGAATGGCACTTTTCCCGGGGCTAAGACACCCACATGGAAAATGGCCCCAAAAGGAGTGAAGACCAATGGGATCATGCAACTTTAGGCTTGATGATTGGTGTTGTGCAGAATTTACAAGGAGGAAAGATCGAGGAACAAAACAAAAATAAAAGAGAATTTAAATGATTCTAGAAGTAAGTTTAAAACACTTTAAAAGTCATGTTTCCAAAAAAAAAAAAGTCAGATTGGCTTCGTAGCTTTTTCTCGACTTAAAATGTTGTTTTAAAGTTTGTTCGATTTGAAGGATTAATCCGCTATTTAGTGATTAGCTATGGAGAACGTAATAAGGGGTGGGCATAGATCATTAGATGCTGAATACAAGGGCTTGAAGTCAAGGTGTGCAGGTGTGTATTCGAGATTATAAAGTTTTAGAAATGTATATTTGGAGGGGTATTTTGTTGGGCCGAGATGCGCTGAAGGAAAAGTAGGAGCAAAAGGTTAAGTAGCAACTAAGGAGCAATTAATTACTAAGAGAGCAAATTTATCCAAGTTGTCTAAGCCTACACATCAAGTAATATAAGGTTTTATATAAGCTCCAGATTATCGTCTTCAGGGAACAATTGTAAAAGTGATGTTTAAAAGAAATGTAAATAAGAAAACATAGTAATAAGAAATAAAAGGTACGAAGACACTTTTGTCGAGGAGCCAAATTGTTTTAAGTTTAAGGTCTTACCAAGGAGCACTTGTCATCAGCTATTTGAACAAAGTCAAACAATCATGCAATGACTAAGCACTGGTTTCCCTTTTTAAACTTATTCGACTTGCCTTGAAAAAAGTGCGGAGAATGTTGAAATTGAAAATATATGTTGTTGACTAAAGAAGTTGATCTGGATAACATATAGGCCCATAAGGTTTAAAGCCCAGAAAAAGGGCCCATGAAGGCGCAATGATCCCATTGCGTAGAATGTACACCGTAAGCATCGCGCAAATTATCATGTGAAGCCTCCTTATATAAACTTAAAGATTAAGGAAGGTCTTAGTGATGAGCTGAGTTCCACCGGACATAAGGGCCAACACAAGTAAGACAGCTCCAACTTGCCACTACTCTAAGAAGACAGGCTATTATATATATAGACTTGTTCATCGAGGGAATAGCTAGAAAGGCACCAACTAAGACAGAAAGACAGCAACCGACAACAACCAACAAGAAGGTATGCTACCTACAATAGGCTGTACAAAGCTTACTATAAATATGAAGGGAACAAACTTAGATATGATCATCTTATTACAATAAACTATAACATATACCTAGCATTGATACTGACTTGAGTATCAGAGTGTCTTTTGCAGGTACCCCCTAGTTACTTCCATTGTGTCGGAATTTCACTACTGCCCATAAACAGATAAGTATATATCTCTAAAGATTCAAACCCTCTTGTTACAATTCAAGGCCCAAAGTCTTCAACCTTTAACCGTGTG